AGTATTTTAGACTTTGTGAGCCAAATTTCTGGTTTATAAAAGCCCTTGGAATCCTTTGTTTGGAAAACAAATACATAGCTGCCTAACTTCTGGATTTTTTAAGTGTGAAGACTCCATATGTATCAAAATAGAGGGTTCAGGAAGAAGTTCCTTCATGTCTATAATAATTTTCCAATTAAGGAACATGGTTTATAGAAAAGAGAATAAAATAATGCTGACACTTAAATGCAAAACTTTAAATAAGTTCAGTATTTAGAAGTGAACGCCTACCTTTTTCAGATCCCATGTATAAATTCTGCAAAGAAAACAGATGTTCAGTTTCAATTAGCGATTCCCAACTGTCCAGTTCTGTTACATAATCAAAGGCCAACAGTCCTTATCAAAATTCACATTGTGAATTGTCCCCTATTACGCAAAGCTACAAAGTGGCTGGCTTGGTATGTTCTAGGAATCCAATCATTATATTTTGTAAAACCAGCCAATTATGGTTTAAAGTATTTGCAGTTCAAAAGATTCCAGAAAGTAGCAAAAAACATGGCCCAATGCTCATTTTCAGTATGACTCCATGTGTTATGTTTTTTTTTTTAAAATAACTGGAGTGAGGAGGAGTGCTGTAATACCTCCTTAAAAAACCTTGATCCAGCTAGCTCGGCTGGTAGCACCTCACAAGGGCCCCTTTCCAGGGTTACAGGAGAAGATGGCCAACAATTTTGAAGGTGGTAGAGGGCTTTATGCCCCAATGGCAGATAAAATGGTAGAACCATCTTCTAGGAGAAGGGAAACTCCGATTTCAAACCTCCACTGCCTTGTGGTTGTATCTATTATTGGAAAAGGCTTCAGGGGTCAACCTCAAGGCAAAATTCGGAGCCGGAGTCCCAGAAGCAGTTCATGACTGTGTACAATCACGTTCTGGTAACCCCTGCAATGCAACTGGAACGAATCATATCGGCTCTGCCGTTCCATTAGACTATTTCAGTGACGTGGAAAGGGGAGGATCTGCTGCTTGGGTAACAGTTTATCCTCCATATTAAATTACCCAGGCCTCGTGCTCTGGAGAGGACACTGCAGCTTTGCATACAGAGACTGAGGGATGCCAATACAATAATAACTAGCTTTCCCTCTTTATATTTTTTTTCTTGCATTTCCGACACCTTTGTATTGTTTACACAAGATTAAAAGTGGACTCACTATGGACAGTTTCTCATTTGTTGTGTAGCGTGAGAGGATTTCCCCCCGTTTGCTGGACCAAGGTTCAAAGTCACTTCCCACAGACAAACTCTCATCTTTATCACGCTTCTTCCTGGCATTATCCTACAAAGGAGTACAAAAAACAGCATAACATTTTTGCATAAATAAACAATGGTGCTTTTACGTTAAAACACCTGCCTTTTGTTTTCTAAATTGAGGATAAAATTAAATGTTACACCACCACTACCAGAATGAATAAAAGCCACCGACAAGCATGGAACTGTCAGAAATGTGTATTTAAAAACCCATAATTAAATGCAGTCAAATCCGTCAGCTCTCCGGTAAAAGCACAGAGATTGGTTACCTATGGAGAAAAGCACAAATGAAGGCTAGTCTTTGCCTTCAGCACCTTGGAGAGCTCCCTGCAAGACTCGTTAAACTGCTTTGAGAGCATCAATACCAGAACCGGAAATGACGTCTTTCCATTTTGAGTCAGGAGACTCCCAAAACAGACCCTGAACAAGCTTAAAAATGATTAACAAAATAACTTCTCCCTTCTGTCCCTCCCTCCAAAATTGAGTGACGACTACAACATTGGGGAAGAGCCCATAAGTGTGAGGTGACCCTATCCACTGTAGTCTTCACTATAAGGAACTTTAAAACATAAATTTTGGACACACGCACATCTGCAGAATGCAGGGGCAGCAGTAACACCAGCCCCTTACCCAACTGGTCTGAAATGACATTACCGTTGTCATGCTCAACAATGGATCGGCAGTAGCTGCAAACAAGGATAAAGGATCTGTGCCATCCAGAACGCTGCTGAGTGGGTCCAGCATTGAACTAGAAGATGAAGATGATGTAGAGGATGTGCTCCCTTTACGACCCAATTTTTTTGTCTTCGATTCAGTAACCTGAGTAATAAAATAGCATATATAAGAAGTTTGCAGCTGAATCCTTTTCACCCTTATTCCAACGAAAATGGCACTTATTCCAAGACCAGGCAAACCTGTGTAAGAGACCAGTTCTTGCCTATTTTGGGTTGAGATGTTCAATTCTGTGAGCCATCACTGAGCTACGAATAGATGCTTTAGACAACGGAGAACATTCAATGCTAGACAAAGCCTAATTCTGAACAAACTTAAAGAGTAGATCAGGCATTAAAGTAGAATCCACATGCTGCTATTATAAAACTAAACATTTTACCACCAGTGTATACTGCAAATAGTGCAGAATTTAATTTTCCTAATTTGAAGTCATGCTGATGGTATCAGACAGACCTTTTTATGGAGATATGACAAACCAAAAGGTCTTGCTCTTTTATTAATCAAACTTGATAATGACACTGTTGGTTTGCAGAAAAACATGACAATGTCACGTTTTCTGCAGATTACTAGGTAAACCTACCATAATGGGTTTGAGTGGATGGAAATCACCAAATTCCACAGACACAGCTTCCAGTCTATATGATTCCAATTCACGCCCATAGTTTCGTGTTCTTGCATGCCTGAAAGACAAAAGTGTACGTGTGTGTGTGTATACATATGCACAGACTGGCAACAAGTGGTTTTTTAGAGATTTATTTATTAAATTTATTTGCTGTTCCTCTCACCAAATTCTAATCACTGTAACCAGCATGGGACAACCATGATGGGAAGACCAATCTAATACCATCTGAAGGACCAAACCCTGAGATCTACCATAATTCAATGAAAATAAATTTTATGTATAAGCATAAGTTCAAGGCAAGTTGCAAGAAAAAATCATTGGCATTAGTTCAACACCTATATTTTGCAACTTGTAAACATCCACTAACAAAAGAGAAGGAAGATTTATGTCCTAGATGAATCACCAGTGACACCAACTGGCATCCGAAAGAAATGTATGCAAAATAATATTTCCTCCCCGAAGCTAACTTTTGGACTGACACATTGCTGTAAGCTACATGTTTGATTAATGTTGGTATATTGAAGAAACCATAGTGGCTGGATTCTACCAATGTGGTCAGCTATAAGACAGTTTGTCATTGTGAAGCCTGTCACACTATTTGAAAAATATACACTTCTCTGTAATAAATTGAATTAGGAAGTAAAGACCTGATCACTGCTGGAATAGAAGACATTTCATCAATATTTCCGCACTCACATATTTCTTCTGGAAGCCTACTTTTGTGACATAATTAAGGGATGTGACAGCACGTGTAAAAGTCTAGAATTTTTTCAAATATGTAACTTTTCATCACACTTTCCCCTTTCAAGGTAATTTATTTTGATGATTTAATTATTCCCATATTCCCACTTGCCGCACAATCTTTTCACATTTGCATGACAATAGGAAAATCAAATCATCTTTTAAAAATACATTCAGCTATACAGTTATACTTTATTTTTTATTCAAGTAGGGTTTCTATAACGTTTCCTCGGTCTGGAATTTCCCTTGGTCAAGCAAAGATAGCAGCATCAACATCAATCTTTTTAAATATTTTTTTTTTAAAAAACCTCTTTTAAAGACCTGTCCCTTTTTTCCCCAGGTAGGTCCTTCATTTCCCTCCCGCCCCCCGCAAGGAAAAAGATCCACTGGAGGATTTCTACCTGCCCAACCCTCTCTTGAGGGTCTTAAGGCTGCTTTTTATGCCAAGCCCCCACAATTCCACCCCCCCACGGGAAAATAAAATCCATTCTTCTGCAGGATGATGGGAGTTGTCATCCCGACGCCTCTAAGGAAGACCAGGGAGGGAGCCGCCCTTTCAAGCCCCAGCGCCCCCTCCCCAGCCAAGCCTGCGGCCTAGTGCCCTCTGAGGGGGGGGGGTAAAAAAGGGCGGGAAAACCGAGACTCCCTCATTTGAGGGAGGGGGGTGGAATCCCTCCCGGTTCTTCCTTTCTTCCCTCCCTCCCCGCCGCGATTCTCACCAAGGAAAGGCAGCCATCTTGGTTCCCTCACGTGACTCCCCGCCCGCTTTAGCGCAGCCCGATGCCGGAGCGGCCACGTTGGAGAAGGGCGCTTGCCCGGTTGCCTTGGGCTATCGAGGGGCGGGGCGAAAGCTTCCGCTTGGAACTTTAGTAGGAAGCGTTTTGAGCTTCCATAGGCGGGGCTTATGTTGATCTTGGCTTGTGTTGGTTTGGCCAAGCTATGTTGGCTTACGCGCAGGGGCTCAAAATCTTGAAAGCAATTTTCCTCAACCTTGGTCAGCTTTCAAGCTTGTGCGGACTTGACAGCTCCCAGAATTCCCTGGCTGGGAAGTTTGACTAGGGAGGGAATTCTGGGAGTTTGGGAGTCCACCCGGCTGAAAAGCTGCTAAAATTAAGAAAGGCTGCTTTTTAGAAGCTTCCTGCTAAAATAAATCATGACATTGCAATGCAAATTTAGCTGAAGGTGGCTTGTCCAACAAACCCAAAGCTTGGGGGTGGACACAGCTTATATAGTCAACCCGAAGTGACCGGGTGCAATGTTGGAATTGATTCTTAAGACTTCTTAGGGTCCTTTTTTTCCTTCTGGGATCCTTGCTGCTTGATGGAACTAGTAGGGCAATCCTAAAAGTGTTTGACTCCAGAAACTAAAGATGTCTGTGTTTTGCTAGCCAAAGAAAAAGAATAAGCGCAAAAGCAATCCATTTAACGTGTTTGATTTTTTTTAAAAAAATGTTCCTTTACCGATCACTGTCTCGCAGCTAGATGTGAAGGTGTTAAAAGTTAAAAAGTGAAGTCTACATGGTTTCATTGTCCAAAATGATCCTTAGCATCACAGAAATCAGTTGAGGAAGAAAGTGTATATTCGTGCACACAAATACTGAGATTTTTTTTAAAAAAAGTTTATTGTGTAATATATTTAAAGAAATTTTTAAAAAGGAGAGGTGAAAACCAATGTACAAAAATAAGGCTTATAATAGCATGGCATTCCACTCAAAAATAAGGCAAACAAATATTGAGAATAAATAAATATGAAACATTAAGTTACAAAAGGCATCCTGGCACTAGTAAACAGAAGACCATATGTTGTTAATTTATAAATAAAACATTTTGTGCTAAAATATTAAAAAGGTCCACTTAAATTACTGAACTTGTACTATTTACATGCAGCCTATGTCTAACTCCACAGCACACAATTAGATTACTTTTAGCATCGACACATGTAAACTGTAGCCTAACATGCAAGGTAACAATCGCAATGTTTAAGTCAGCTTGTGAATCTTCAGTTTTTTTGAACCTCAGGCAAGACAAGAGCATTGAAAATAGATTTAAAATCAGAATGCAGTGAAATATTTCCGTGACAAGCCCTTGCCAGGGGCAATCTTTAAAACCATGATTGGTTACATCACAATTTGTGGCGTGTCCATTTTTACCATTAAAGCAGAGCCAATCTCTGTAGTTGACTCCTATTTCAGACCTCCCTTCAGATAAGCAGATAAAAACAAGCAAAGAAGCAGATTTTTAAAAAGCCAGAAATACAAAGCATTTGTGCAAAGTTCAAATCAGAAGCGTATTTGACCAAATGCTCTTAACCAAGCTGGGGTTTGCTTATACATCCTGGTTTAGTCAGACTGAGAAATCCAGGGACTGGGGATGGGTGTTGCTTAAAATTTTATATTATTGTTTATCCATTTGTGTGGGATTTTTGTCTACAATAAACCAAGATAACCCAGCAAGATTGGTTTATCATTCTATCAATAATCTTTGACTTTTTTTTTTTACACTGGCATCAAGGCAGCCACAGTTCCAAATGTGATTTTAAAACACTGCATGATGTAATAAAAGCATTAGAAGATACACATGTTTATAAGTATAAATAACTGTATCCATGTATAAGTTAACCCCCTTTTTTTTTAGCTGAACCTTAATTTTTCAATTTGTGGGAATGATTTAAGTGACGCCACATCTGAAACCTCTACCATTGGCAAAATATTAATATCAACTGAACAAGCAAATTAACATTAGACATTAACTGTGACTAAATATGATACTGGGATAAAGCACTACTAAGCTAAAAGCAGCACACCAATTTATTTCCCAACATGGTCTTGTTTCAATCTTTCAAAACCACACTAAAATCCACTCCGCCTTTCCCCCACCTCCAAAACAATATTTACATAAATACAATTTGTATTTTGAAATGGTTTTGTTCATCTAGCTTTTCTGTGAAATTAAGATTGATCTCATGTTATACGTTGAAAGAGCAAAGATGGACAACGTTATTCCAATTTACCATTAGCCCAAAGTTAAGTAAGTAACCTTCGACTAATATAAGTTGCACAATGTTCCAATTTACTATTAGCACTGGTTATTTATTATTCTAATGTTGTTTATAGAGAATGCCACCAAATATTTGGATTTAAAAAGAGAAAGGAGGCAAATGTTTAACAAAATAACCTTCCCTGCCCACCTAATAGTTGTTAGCATTTGTTAAAGAGATTTCTAGTTTGCTTACTACAAAAATCAAGTCTGATAGCATTTTATAAACTAGATCTCACAGCATGCTCAGAAACAAGACTATAGCCAGAAAAAAGGAAGTGGGTGAATACAATATTTATACCCTCTGATTATGTGCTGAAAGCCTAAAGAAACGTATGTTCACCATCATGACCCTCCTGATTATAGAGGACTGAAGTGGCCAAGAGAAATTTTGTGTAACACAAAAGTGCAGCCATCTTTGAAAACGATCCAGAAAGCTGAAACAAAAAATTTCCTTTTCAGAAGTGCTTTTGAACTATCCCAAAGCATGTCAGAGAGAAACAAGAATGTGGGGACATCTAAAGCCATCACACTTCCGGGTTATTTATTGCACAATTGAAAAAAATGCAGCCCAGGCTAAAAGGATTGCTGGAAGAATCCCCCTGAAAAATATCTACTTGAGGGAGTAAGCAAAGCGCAAAAACCCAGAACTCAAACAGAAGGCTCGTCTTCATATTCACATTCATATTTCCTTCGCCTTCACATCTCCGTTCCAGAGACTCTTTCAACAGGACCACGCCTCACATTCTTTGAAGGAAGGTATGGAGAACGTTGAAGGACAATGCTAAGCCACTTTCTAGCCAAGGGAGTGCTGTCTTCTTAGGTTGTCGCAACATTTGGCTTCTTTCTTGGGATTCTTCCGGCAGATACTCCTGAAAGCAAAAATCAGAAATAACCCAAGTCTTGTTTGTTAAAAGGTGACTAGCTTAAAATGCCAAACATTTGTCCCAAGCAAGCAGTTTTAAAGCAGGTGCAAATGGAACTGTTGTGCTGAAGGGCAGCTTAGAAGAGGAAGGCCACAAAATGTAGAACTGTGTATAGAAGCAAATAAATTAGGGTTGTCCATGATAGTGATGAGAAGCAGCTTAAGGAGGTTTGGGGCGGGGGAGGGGTTAAAGTCTTAAACTTCTAAGAAACTTAGCAGGCCTATGTTAGAATTCTCTCTGTAGCCCACGGATTTATACAGCAGATATATATACCTGACAGATTTTATTTTGTCGGAACACTTCACGTTGGGAGAAAAAAAAAACCCATTGTGACCATTCTAGATAAGCAATTTGGAGATACAAGAAAGCTGTAGAAAAGGTAGATGGGAAAAATCACTGCCAGGTTGGTTGGTTTTTAAACAGCTTGGATTCATATTGATTTCATTTATAGACTGTAGTAAGTCATAGCTTATTAAATAAACCAGAATTAGACAAGTTCATCCAACACACACAACAGACACACACACACATGCTTTTCAACCCATTTTGGGCGAGTTCACTCTCTGCCCAAACCAACCATCATTTGGGCTTAACACAATGGGCAAAGTCAGACATGATGAGCATCTTCAGAGCTACTGTGAGTAATGCCAGGATTCACAGAAATTACCTGGAATCCTCATCATGCAGAAGGAACAGGAAGAGACAGACTTGGCTGGGCAGACAGACAAGATATCCCTGGAACTTCCTCCATTCTACAGATGCTGAACTGTCCAGTTTGTAATTTTGGAGCCCAGAACCGGCTGGCTCTCTCTATAAGTGCCTCAACCTCTATGATGTTTCATAGAATGTTTTCAAAGGTGATTTTACTCCTGGAGATCACACGTAGAGTATCCAATGGGGAGGGGACCTTTTCAAGAAGAAAGTTTGGTTCTAATTATGAAATTTGCTTCCTTGGGGAAATGCACGTAGAGATGGTAGTAAACGTGATGGTCTAAAAGAATTTCCCAGTTGTACAAGTTCTTCTGGGGATTTACGGGCAGGTTGAAGGGATCGTCTAAGGAGGCCAACTCATATATCTTTTTTTTTTTTTTCCAATACCAGGCTAAGAAGAATAAGCAAACAAAGCTATTTTACGAAATAGATACAGGTAGTCCTCGAATTACAAATCGAGCCCAAAATTTTTAAGCAGCCGCTGTTCATTGAGTTTTGACCCATTCTACAAACTTTCTTGCCGCAGTTCTTAAGCGAATCCCTAGAGTTGTTAAGTTCATCACGCAATTGTTAAGTGAGTCTGGCTTCCCCCATTGACTTTGATCATGCAACCCTGGGGTGTGAAAAACGGTCACAAGTCCCTTTTTTCAAGGCCTTTGTAACTTCGAATGGCCACTAAACAAATGGTTATAAGTCGAGGGTTACCCGTAAAACGTTTGCATTTTGTCTAAATTAATGTTAGCTTTCTGAAACCCTTCGTATCTCATCAAAAAGTCCACATGCACAGCACGATTAGTACCCGGGATCTTCTAAGGCTGCCCATTTCCCCTCATCATATTACATACATATGATGTGTGTATGTGGCACGAACATGCACAATCATGTGAGAAACAGGTTTAAGTGTTCCAGCCAGGAAGTTTTAGTTAAAACACACACAAAAAACCCCCACAACATTCAGGCAACGGGTGTTATCCACAAAATGAAACCGCAACTAAAAATAAAATAATAATAGGCCATTGGCTCAGTTTCAGAAGCGTTGCTCAGATTAGTAATGGTGGAGTGAAACTGAGTCGTCTCTTCATGCAATTCATTGGTTACAACTTTTGCAACCTGTGCTGTGTTCATTCCAGTGAGGGTTAGTATAGCGCAGTTAGAGCAGAGCCGGTTTGCACCGAGAGGAAAGAAAATATCTGCTGCTTTAAGCTTCTTCTACAGAAGCCATCCTTCTTACGCGAGAGATCCCAGCGCCCAATTTTGTGTACACACCTGAAAAGCCCTTGCTAGGCACTCTGTGGTCTGAGGGTTTCTTTCTATTTTGCTCGGCCCCTTTCACTGAGGCCTTAGAGGTTCTGATTGAACATAAAAGGAGGTAATAAGTCACCTGCATCCAAGGTCAAAGGTTACTTCCCCAAACTCCCCTGTACAAGAGGTTCGGCCTTACCCTTGTCTGGACAGCAGCCTTTGGATAGGAGCGTTTTGACCTTGGTTGGGCTGAAGGACTCTGCAGAAGAAATCACATTTTGATTTTGTAATAACAGAAGCTGCTTTCTGATGGAACGGCAGTAGAAAAAGAACAATGAAAACGACTAGAAAATCCAGGATGGAATGGGGGAAAAAAGCAAGAGACGAAAAAAACAAGACAAAGGGGTTATTGAAAACTGGGGGCATACAAGTTTTATTATCTGTTCACAATATTTTGAAGCTACAGAGGGCAGTTCTTTCCAAGAAGCTAGGATGTCGTAAGGTATTGGCGTAACCTATGTGCAGCTCCAAGCAATTATTATTATGGTTGGTTACACAGGCAGCTGTTTAGACTGGATTTGGATGACGAGGGTTGGTATTACTACAACACTATTTAACATGTTACAAACCTGTTTTCGAAGATCTTTTGCTTCCCAGGGTTTTTTTTATTTGGGATTCCCATTTCAGTAGCCCTATTGGGGAAAAAGAAAACATGTGAAAACAGGGTTTGGGAGAAGACAAGACTGTCTTCTTGTTCGTAAGACACTGGAAGCAAGCATATGGTTCTAGCTGCTTTATTTCTATCCCCTTGTAATGTAGAAAGCTGTAAAAAAAAAAGCGGAGTTGCCAAACCGTGTGCAAGCAGGAAGTACATACAAGACAAGATTCTTGAACATTTTCGAACATGGCTTGGTGGGGAATTCTGGGAGCTGGAAGTCCACAGAAATTTAAAATTCCTGAGGTTCAAATCAGAGCACTCCTGATTTAAAACAAAGATCCCCACTTTTTGACACCAACTGCCCAACCTCAAAATATAAAGCACTTTACCAATGTATCTACAGTATCTCTTGTGTGCTGCTTGTTACCATTTCTGCCACGTACTTTATATACTTCTTCCTATCCAGCGACTTCTGCGTAGCTGTAGAAAGGGCCACTTTGTCTCTTGGGGACTTGGCTTTATCCTATACGCTCAACAATTAAGAGATGTTAGTTTTATTACAAGGCAATTTGTAGGATATTATGTTTAACAAAAATAACCTCACCTAAACTACAGTTAGAACAAGTTGCAAACCTGCATTCTTGGTGACAAACTGTATTTAAAACCAGTGTTAAGGCTTTTCAAAGTCACAAAGACAACAAAAGACAGACGTGACTGCATATAACCAGCATGGTAAGTGACAGGCAGCTGCAACGCACCAGCTGCCGAAGCATTTTCTCTTTGCGGATTTCTCGATCTTGACGTAAGATGCTCATCCTTTCCGACGCCTCCATTTTGAAGAAAATGTCATGAATATCATATAGGGCTGCCTGCAGCTAAAAAAACCCAAACAAACATGCTGTGAGGATTCCGGCATTTAACCCCATTTAAATCAAGAGTCTCCAGCCAAACTTCCAACACTTAAAAAGGATTTATTGGGGGTTAAAAGATCCAGCACTGCCTGGGTATAGCTGACTCTGAGATACATCATTCACTGTCCCCCTTGACCCTGGTTTTCCTCCCAACCCCTGAGTGTATCGTAATTCATATTCTCCAATGGGACACATCCATAGCCAAGAGTCATCAATCATGCTTTCCAGTTAGAATTTTGCATGGCAGAAACTTCAGTCACTTAGTTACTATCTTTGAAGACGTTTATGGAATCTTTCCTTTGTGTGCAAGAGTACAAGTAGCCCTCGACATACAACAGTTTGTTTAGTGACCCTTTGAAGTCACAACGGCACTGGGGGGAAAAATAAAACCGTGTGACTTTTTCACGCAACCCTTGCAGCATCTCCATGGTCATGTGATCAAAATTTAAATGCTGAGCCACTAGTTCCACTAGTGTCCTGGGGTCATCTGATCCCCTTTTGCGGCCTTCTGACAAGCAAAGACATCGGGGAAGCCAGAATCACTTCACAACTGTGTGACCCAACGTAACGGCTGAAGTGATTCATTTAACGACGATGGCAAGAAAGATCGTAAAACGGGGCAAAGCTCACTTAGCAAGTGCCTCACTTAGTGACAGGCCTTGGGGCTGAATTGTGGTTGTAAGTTGAGGACTACCTGTAGGTACCTGGGAGGGGGAATCATTCCTCCACTCAGATAGCTACCTGGAAAAACCACTGTGGTTTTCTTCGCTACGTTTTTGGGAAGCGTTTCATCCTAGCCTTCTTCCTTAAGGCTGAGAGAGCAGAAGTAGCCAAAAATCACCCAGGTAGCTTTGGGCCTCAGGCAGAATTAGATTTCCCATGAGGTGCTCAAAAATGGCTTCCGTAGCTTGACTGAAAATCAATATATGGAACGGCCGTTCTTTGTCCCCATGAACCAAGTGGCAAGTTCAAGACCTGTGGACTTCAACTCTCAGAATTCGTCAGCTGACATGACTGGAGGAGGAATTCTGGGAGTTAAAGTCCACAAGTCTTGAAACTGTCAAGTTTGAAGACCCCTGGAATAGAATATAGAATAGGAATAGAATTTGGAATAAGGAATAGAGTTTTAGAATAGAACAGAATGCAGAATAGAATAGAACAAGGGACTCCAAACGTGGCAAGTTTAAGACCTGTGGACTTCAACTCCCAGAATTCCTAAGCTGACATGACTGGAGGATGAGTTCTGGGAGTTGAAGTCCACAAGTCTTGAACCTGTCAAGTTTGAAGACCCCTGCCATGAACCAATCTCATGTGGATCTCAAAGTAGACACCTTACCTGAGCAACCACTCTTTCTTGGAGATTGGCATCTTGAGTGGGGAGGTTTCCCCTCTTGGACAGAGCTTCGGACTGGAAGTTTTTGATGAACTCCATCGTATCCTACAAAAGGAACGCACATATGCACCGTTTGTGGTACAGTTCTTCTCACAATGAATCCCAACGCCAAGCCACTGAGGCAATGGTTACTTCAAAGAAAGCAGGTTCCTCCCAAAAGAATATCTGGCAAATAATTCATTTTTGGGGGGGAAAGTTGATTAGGAAGAAGAGGGCACTGAAGAGGTTGTTAGGTAGGCCTCAAGCACTTTGGTTTCACGGACAAACACAATCACCGTTGATCTCCTCGTGTCATCTAAATCTGGAAACTAAACTGGAAAAAATGAAAAATTGATTTTCGCCGATTCCAGCTTCTGTGGTCACTGTGGCCAGTGGCAGGGAGGATGGTATAGGTAGCCCTTGACTTACGACTGGAGGAATTGACATAGTTGGGATTAGAATATTGGGCCTAAGCAGTGAGGTACCCACAGGACTGGACCCAATTTTATAACTGCTTTGATTGATTATAGTTTTAAAGCATAGCATGGGATAGTAAATTCCAGCAGATTCTCCCAAAGGGTGTTTTTTTTTGTAAGAAACTGGCAAAACGTGCCAGAAACTGGATAAAAAAGATTGCAAATCTCAAGTCACATGACTGTGGGATGCTGCAACCAATGGTAAATGTAGTTCGCCAAGCATCCAAAATACGGTCATGTGAGGAGGACAGCCAGAAGTGCTTTAGAGAGGCCATAAAAGCACTTTTCCGAGGCTGTCATAACTCCAAACCTTTGTTAAATGATCTGTCACACGTCAAGGGCGATCTGTAGCGAAGGTCTTTTTATTATTGTATTTATATTTATATTTATATATGTATGTATGTATGTATGTAGAGGCTGATGAAAGCTTAGTAAGTACATTAAATGTAATTTTAAATTCTAGAGATCGCAGGATGTCTGTTATTTCTTTTACACACACACACACATATATTCATATACATACATTCACAGCCAGAGCATCTATGCAGATGGTTCCTTACATGGACCGTTTGTCTCAGATGCTTTAGCTTCTCTGTCTGCAAGAGTCTTCTGGTTAAAAATCCCTTGGCTAGAGCAGAGATCTTGTTGAATCTCCTTTTCATGGCAGGGCTGTATACCTTCAAGGGGAAAGGTAAAAATCAGGTAATCACAAGAGTATTTCCCGCATCAGTTTGCATTTAACGAACCTAAACAAAGCAGAGTTAATACACTCTGGAGTCTCAATTATCCATCGGATGCTTTGGGTTTTTTTTTTACATGCCTTTCCTGGAAATGGGATACCGAATTCCCATGCTAATAATAGCACTGATAAAAAGCATAAATTAAAAAAGGCGTACCAGAAATAATCCTTATGAGAGTAAAACGTAAATATGTAAACTATATAAAGATATAAGGATAGTAATTATAGTGGAAACTATTATTTAATATTAGATAAACATAATATGATGTATTATGGTATTTAAATTAAGAACCTGTATGGATGCCAAGAGTGCTATTGGAATTATATTTTATGATGTAATAAAAGAAACTCAATAAAAATACATTTAAAAAAATAAAATAAAAATGGTGTACCAGATTTCCACACTTGATAAAAGAGCAATGACTAAATAGCGACTTCTGCCAATAAAACATTGTTAATTCCTCTAGGATTTATTTGCCAACGTTGGTCTTTAAATCCTTACCTGTGACCACCTCATTTTACTCCGGCTAATAGACCTGGATACCACGACCGATTTTCCGCTTGCTGGCTGCTCCCAGAGGTAGAATGGAGATCCAGCGTTCACAAAACCTGTTTTAAAAAAGTTTTAACAGTGGAAGTCATAATTAAGCAAATATCAAAACTAAAAAAAAAAACCTGTGTTGGTTATATGCTACAGGTAGTCCTCAATTAACAGTCAGAATTGAGCCCAAAATTTATCTTGTTATAAGTGAGAATTTGCTGAGTGAGGTTTGCCCCATTTTACAGCATTTTTAGCCACTGTTAAGTAAATTACTGCAATTGATAAGTTAGTAACTTGGTTGTTAAGTGAATCTGGCTGTTTGTCAGAAGTTTGCAGAAAGTAATCACATGATCACGGGACGCTGCAACAGTCATGAAGTATGAACCATACTTTGAATTTTGATCACATGACCACTGCAAAGGTTGTAACAGTGAAAAACGATCGTAAGTCACTTTTTTGGTGCCGTTGTAACTTTCAACGGTCACTAAGTGAACTACTCTAAGTCAAGAGCTACCTGTCTTCCTCATTCACACCCGCTAAAATATTTCATGATCATTACTCCGGCTGTCTGGATCATGGAAAGACAGGTTATCCTCGACTTACAATCATAATTGAGCTCACAATTACGACCACGGGTCGTGACCGTTGTTGAACAGGTCGCTGCATGACCATGCCTGGTTTTATGACCCTTTGGCAGCAGTTGTTAAGGGAACGCAGCCGTCCTCAAGGGAGTGGCACAGTCACTAAAGGGTACCCTGTGGTTGTTAAGCAACTTGTTGTAAAGAAAGGACTACCTATAGCCTTAAGATTCAGTTCTGTCCTTCAGCAATTATACAGGAAGGAAATGGAGTTGGCTTTTAATACTTAACTCCAGAGAGTCAACCCAGGAAAACACGTGAAACAACAATCCAATACAAAGGACACGTTGTTCTTCAATGGTTTATTCACCCTGGGCTTACACATTCAAATCAACATGCACCATTTCTGCTTTTACCCTCATTTTCCAAGGTGGTGCTGTGGGCAGCCTCAACTCGATTCAGCACGGATTCCAGCAGATTACTATCGGTGATTTTCCTCCACTCCAGAGCGACGCCGCTGCCGAGATTAAGGGGGGGAATCCCACTTTCGGTTGCGTTTTTTTCCTCTTTTAATCTCCGCGCCTGCTCTTCGATCTCCTGGGCCATTTCAAGAAAAACAGAAGTGTGGGTGATTACGACCAGCATTCTGAGGATACAACAAACGTCGGAGGACACCATTTTTTTTTTTTTTGCTAATGAAATCCTGTCCTTGTGGAAACTCTAAGGCTGAACTCGCTCCAGATTTTTTTTTCATTCTGACCTGGTCATTTGATTTTGAGGATGTCTCCCTAAGATATAATTTCGTTTTAATCCTAGCCAATCCAATCCACCCTAGAATTAAAATTGTCTGGCCTGGATATGTTATTAGGTGTTCTTTTCACAACTGAGATACTGGCCTCCAGCCAAAGCAGTTTTGGCCCAACTTTGTGCATTCGATGGGTTAGAATGGCCCCTTCCCAATACTCCTCCGCTGGGAATTCTGGGAAATTTGCCCCGCGTTAGATCCCAGAGAGCACCAGGCTGGGGAAAACTCATGATGAGATTCTTATCTTGTCTTTTCAATCCCAACCCTTTGTTTACCACCAGAATCCCTGCCATCCAGGTTTCTGGCAAAGCAGGAAAGGTGCAGGGTCTCTTCTTCCAGGGATAGATAAGAAAGATATAGATAGATAGATAGATAGATAGATAGATAGATAGATAGATAGATA